AGGTAGATAGGTTGGTAAGTAAATGAGTAGATAAGTAGGCAGGTAGGGAATGATTAGGTAGGTAGATAGGTTGGAGGGTCGGTATTTAGGTAACATTTTTTTATCATAGGATTGAAAGAAGCTCTTGAGTTAGAGCTCCTCCTTGCAACGCTTATTTCGATGATACATTGACAAGGAGCAGGGAAAAGGTGTAGACACATAGATTGGAAGGAAAGTAAGCAGGTAACTTGGGGGTAAGTATGCAGTTAGATAAAAAGAAAGGTACGTAGGTAGCTTGGGGATAGGTATGCAGTTAGATGGTGAACAGCAACAGAGATTGATACTATGCAAAATGGTACATCAAATCAAATCTTACTGTCTTCGTCTGTCTTTTCAGAAAGGATTTCGCTTGAAGGACCATCCCCACATTGATTGAATGCTAACACTGTTACGTTGTACTTTCTGTAAATTCTTAATCCTGTAAGGTTGATGTGGGCCGTGGGAGCTGTAACCACCGTGACATTCCCTCCATGCTTACTGGACATAAAGGAGTAAGTCACTTTGTATTCTGGGATCCGTTCGAGACTCTGATTGGTTGGTACAGCATCCCACGTGATGAAAAGACTGGTTATCGTCTTGTTCGCCACTTCGACATTTTGTGGCGGGGTCGTGGGAACTGAAATGTAGACTTATTTCTATTAGCACTGTAAAGTCTGAAATCTATAGTGCATTGTTTCCTAGTAAAAGAAATAATCTTCGCAGGCGAGCTAGGTATAAAAAAAGATTGCCAGAAAAGAAACCTACAAAATACAGGCTTCCACGGATCAAGGAAACTCGCACCTTCCAGGTTCTAGTTAAGTGCCAATATTAGCCCCGCTCCCATTGTGTGGCCTCGTCAGTACTGAGCACTCAACTAATTTTCAAACTTTTCCCTCTTTTCTCCCAACTTCCCAAATTGTTTATCACGCTGGTAATTGACAGAAAGTGCGATCTATTGCTTAAATGAAATAAGCCTAAAAAAGTTGACAAAACAGGACAAATTTTAATTTTCTATGGGTTTATCGGTGCAATAATACGAGTTAGTGAGGATGTCTTAAAAAAAAGCGTTTGCTTTGGATTTTTCATAGGTCTCGGGAAGATGAGGCTGATTAGTTTAGATCAATCGTAAGGCTAAAATAGGTTTCAAGGGTAATTAATTGTCAGCCTAGAATTTTTCTTGTCTTCAATCATGTAAACTGCATGGCGAGTTCTTAAGAGTCACCTGGTATATTCAATGCGCAGATGTTTTCCTCTCGTGAAGCGGCACACTTGTGAGTCTGCGGGATACAAGTTTTGAATTAAAATAATATTGAAATCATTCAAAACTAAGACAAAGCTTTTAAGTTAACATTTGCACAAAACTACGTTTGTAGTAAATGTTCAATTCAAGCTCATATGCAAATAGCTTTTTGGGTAATCTGAAATATATGCGGCTTCTCTTGACTGAGCTTATCTGTAAAGGTAATTAAGAAAAAATTATCAAGATGATATACGAGGAGATGTTTTTTCCAAGACTCCTTGTTATTCAGCTTTGTTAAAAAAAATTCTTCAGAGCGTACCCTAACAAAAAGTTAAAAATAAATTCTGGTCAAGTTATTGTAGACCCAAAATTAAACAAGAATATTTGGTGCTTATCACCAGGCAAGGGGCAAAATAACATTTGCATTTCGTTTGAACATTTTCAACAAATGATAATTAACACGCCTGAGACATAGCATGTGAAAAAGCCGAGATATTTAATTAGCTTCCGACAGCAAAAGTGACGATTTATGCAATCTATCAAACATAAAAACCCAATGGCAAATGCACCGAGCGGACGTACTTCTCTGCAATATGCAATAATATTAACATTGGCTTAACTGATCAAATAAAACACAAGCCGCCAAAAGATGAAGTTAATGATAATTAAAGAAGGAATTTGTGTTTATAAAACGTCTTAGGTTTAAAAGCTTCCTGAAGAAATTAAGGGAAATTTTTTTAAGGAAGAAGCGTATCACAAGTGGATTTTAGCGGAAAGGCAATTATGTTTACATTGCTGAAACGAAGGTTTAAAAGAGGAAGTCTTTATTTCTGGTGGAAAAAGGCGAAGTAGATAGAAAAGTAGGTTTCACGCCTAAAAATACTCATGAACCCATGAGCCGTTGTAGTATGATATTTCGGCCAATAAATTGCTTTATTTTACAAACAAGAGTGTCGCTGCCTTGCTCTGGATTTAGCTGCTAAGTTCACAGAAAATCGAATTCAGTGATCTTCGTGCTAGCCCAAGAAAAAAAAAAGCGTGAAACCGGCTCTACCTGTGAATTAACTTGTTAGCAGAAAATTGAAGCTCGTTTGAATTGCGAACTGCAGCAAATGGCGACTAAAACAGATTTCTTTAAAACTACAAACTTGCTTTACTTGATAAAGCACTTACGGCACTCGTCCTTATCTGCTGAAACACAAACCCTGGTGAGTGAAAGAGGGATTCATCTTTGTCGCACAAGTCTTCAACTTCACATTCGTTTAGTTCGCACAGACCGTTAGCTTCTGCTGATCTCTGGTAGTTATACGAGATGCATCTTGGATCATCGTGACAGGTTTGGACACAGTTGAACCAGTCTGAGGCTGTAACAGCTTTAAAAACATGGCTGGTCAAAACGCGATCGTTCTTCGTGATGGGCTGAATGGCAAATATAAGTTTGTGCTGAACAAAAACCAAAAGCAACTTGAGAAATATCAAGCATTTGGGCATGACGAGATGAATGATATTCCAAGGGGGAAATTTTCTCTCACTTTGATAATGACAGAGAACATCGGATATTTAAGGAAATTACCATAACTGACAGCTCTTAAAAGCTCAAATTCATGATTGAATAGTGACCATTTTTTGAAGTCGTCTCACGTTTATTTACGTTCTAGCACCCACTTCCCGGCAAATGATATTTTTCATTGTCATTCAAATACTTCACTCTCGTCTCCAAAAACTCAACATACCGCCCTGCTATAGATATTGTAAGTCAAAATAAGTGAGGAAGGCTTAACATTATAATCTTTTCAGCTTAATTCCAAATTGAAAAATCCCAGCAGGTGATGGCATGATCCCCAAATGGTCTTTCAAATAAACTGCCCAAGTGTAAAAAGAAGGGACACATTTCAATGTGTTTTCATCTCTTCCCGAATTTAAGCCCAAAGTTTACACTTCAAGTTCGATATTTTACGATAATGAATAAATCGCCAATGCCTTCACTGGAATTCATTAACACCGATGAGATCACAAAAACCGAGGAAAAGCTCGATTCTTCCAGACGTGACAATAAAACTGATCGCCATCTGCTCACATCGCTTACCTCCTGAATTCCGAATTGAAATCTATAAACGTCCGCCATCATATGGTTTACTCTTGCGATTTGATTGACTACCTGAACGAGCAATTTGGTCTCGATTTGCTCGCTCGGGATTGCCCGCTTCGAGCCCGCGATAGAGAAAAATGCTTGTGCAAAAAAACGTTTTTTGGGAGTTTTAGCATAAAAAAGTGACTAACAATTCCTTGGACAGGCAATCAACTTATCTCGGGAAATATGATAAAGTTAATATATACGCTCATGCTGTGTGTAGATGTTTTTTCTTTTTTTATGTTTCATGATCACCTGTGAGGATAAGTTGAAAGAAATGCATGGCTACTCAGGCTGTCATGTTTCATTACAACAATAATGTGGTTTGTTATTATGAGGGGTACATATAAGTTATAAGAGCTACAAGGTAATGTTGCACTCTAACAATTTCATCGATTAAATGGAGTATCAATTGAATACCCTGTGGAAAAGAACTCCAACCATTTTACATGGTTATAATAGATAGACAAGGCAAAAAGCAAGGCACGCGCGCAAGACACGCAATTGACACTCACCTCGCGCTTACCTCAGCTGGCCTCAAATCTTCTTCATTCCGCTGGCTACCTTCACCTTCACTAGTCAAACTATCTCTGCTGGCTTTAGGGCACATTTTCAGAGAAGTGACTGACCGATAAAGTGAGGCAACTGGACATGGAAAATGGGACTGAAAAGTTTATCGTGGAAGTCCATTTTTTGAACCGGAGCCAAGTAATTAAGTAAATACATTCTTACACTTTTTTATATTTTGATCACTTTTCTCGTTTACGCTGCTCTTTTCCTCCCCTCCTTTCTTCCTCTCACTCCGAAGAGGATACGGGAGGCAGAAAATTAATGTGAAGGGGGATTCTCGAGAGGGCTAGGGCGGACACCGGCGAAATTCCTGTCGGGGCCCACCCTGTAAAAAAGAACTGAAAATGATACTATTTTCACATATTTCGGCCGACGGAAATGGCATTATTTACGTTTAATCATGATTATTAAAGGAAGTGACGTAATGAAGACGTAATGATGATGTCAGCCAAAGACTCAACCTCGTTTCCAGAGTCCTCTTTCTTTCAGCCCTCCTCAAAACGTTCTTTGATCTGCATGTGCACGTGATCAGCCGTAACCAGGGTATTTTTTTGAGGGAGAAAGAGGGTGTACCCTAGGAATTAATCATGATCTTGATCATTCGTGATTACTCGTAGTCACTCGTGGTCACTTCGTGGTCACTTATGTGTACTTTTGAAAACGACCAAGTTTGCCTTATTGAGTTTTACATTGTAGTTATGGAGTATGTGACAAGTAATTGACAGCGTGACGAAAGCGTGACGTAAGGGTGACTAAGCCTAAAAGAGAAATCTTTGATCATACGTTAGTTGCATGTAATAAACTTTGCTTACCACTTGCACTTAAGCACAGTGCAACTAAATATTAATCAGACTCCAAAGGAAGTATTTCAATATTTTTTTTTGTGAGTGGATATGTCTCATACAAATTGAACCTTTATCGTATAGCAAAATATTCGAAGGCGAGTCTCTTTTTCTAGCGCCATGCCGAGACAATGTGAGCCAGCAGTTCAGGTGTATCCATTTTTTTTTCTTTCGAAAACATGATTTGTCACCAACATCAGTGAGCAGTCTTGTTATCACTTCTTTATTCATTTTACGTATTAAATTTTAAGATGGGGTTTGCGGAGAGTGATAGAATGCTAAAACTGTACATCGAGATTAGTAGGCCAAAAACTTTTCACAACCGAGCAGAGCAACTAGCAAAATAATTAACTTCTCCACGTCAAATATTCCATTCTGAATAAATCTTCCTCCGCCCCAGCTCCCCTCAGATGCAATTCAGAATTCTCCCAATCCTTGGTCTTCCTCCCGATCCCGAGCCACAGAATATTAAAAAAAAAAAAAAAAAAAAAAAAAAAAGAAAAAAAAAAAAAAAAAAAAAAAAAAACCAAAATGATAACAAACAAAGACCAAAAGACAAACACAGCTAAAAAGCTCTAGAATGAGTTTGGCCTTAACCGCAAAACAAAAGGCATGCTTAAAAAAGATTACAATATTTGGTGGCGGTCGAAGCTTCAAACAAGACCGCTAACCACCCTGTCGCCGCCTTGCCTTTGGATGTAACGTGATAAAAGGTAACTGACGTCATGCGTGAAACAAGAGCCCGGTGAATATATGAAAATAGTAAATGTGAACTGCTGATTTTAGAAATGAATAAAAGCGAGCTTCGCGGTGAAAATGAGCCTTTAATCTTACTTCTGCTCAAGTAGTGTTTATTCCTTTAAGATCGCTTTTATTCAAGAAATTTATTGGACATAATATCCCCTTTCGTTTCCATAGTGATTGGATGAAGTCCCTGTCTTACGGGTAGGGACAGATATTTATTAGTCAAGGAAGGATAAGAGCTGATCTGTAAATTTTAAGTGGCGGCTAAAAGTCATAAATGGTCATAGAACGAGAGAACAAAAGATAATCGTTTTTTTTCCCTGATCGGTTTTTGCGGCGTCATGTCTGCTTGATAATACACCTCCTGTCTCTCCCAGCTAATGAGCACCCTCCCCATCCGTCGCTGCTGTTTATCAGGCATACCTGGCAGGTAAATACTTGAGAGATCCGAAGGAAGCAAAGCGCAGGGCAGCCCGCATTCAAAGCCTGCCTCAAAATGGTGGACTGCCACCGAGTTATAAAGGCAGCATGTATTATTCTCAACATGATTATGTACACGCTACTTCTTGTCATGAATTACGCTGCAAACAACAAAAGTGGGATCCTTTTTGGAAACAAATCGGTCGGACAGGTGGTACGGAAATATTCCATCGAGTTCAGCCCCGCACCTTACGCATTTGAGATCTGGAAGCTCGTAAACGCTTGGACCGCTTTGTGGATTCTATACACGTTGACTTACATCTTCAGACAACGCGTGCCCGATGTGTTGAGCCCGTATTTCTTCGTTTGTTTTACGATGGCTACCGTTTCGAACATGGCTTGGACTCAGTTCATTAGCTGGGAGTTAATCAAGGTAGCAATAGGCTTCGTTTTCGCTATGGTGGTATTCCTCTATGCGTCTCTCGCTTGTAGCTTCGCTGGTTTGTACAAACAGCGCTACTTCATCGGTCGATTCGATTACTGGGTCATTCATACGCTGGTGAATAATGGCATCGCTGCGTATGCTACGTGGGTCACCGTGGCCGCTCTTCGCAGTCTGGCGCTAACTTTGACATATTTTCTCGACATACAGCGAGAACTCTCGGTGACAATCGCTTTGGGAATTCTCACGCTGTTAATCGTGGTGTGGTTTATCTTAGAAAATACGTTTTTCAGAGAAGATCTTTTGTATACCATAACAATTTATCCAGTCTTAATTTGGATTTTTGTCGCCAGCATAATCCTCAACTTAAACCCCGTAAGCCGCCTAAATACGGCCATTATGCAATCTCTTCTTGCCGTTTCGTGTACTCTCTTTATTGGAAAAATTAGTCTCATGGTGTGGAAAATCACTGAAAAATGTCGAGACACCAGAGCAATAGCTGACCTAGCTATGGCGGAAATAACTCCAAGGTTTGAGGAGAACCGCGAGCAAAAATACACTGATAGATCGGATAATCAGGAACTTGTCGACTAGGATTATTTTTACCCACCAAAACAAGCCAAGCGCATTTACTGTTAATTGATCGAATTATCGATATTGGAACCCCACCCGGAATATTGATCACGCATTTTAAAGATGCCGTGATTGTTTTTGTCACGCTCTATTTAGGTCTATATGATGAAGTTGACATAGAGCTCCCGGCTTTATCAAAGCAGACAAGAAACTAGAAGTGTTTTAACGCAAGAAGACTTAATTGCCGGTAAACTGAATTTTCTTGTTTTTGTTTTTGTAGGAGCCCTTGGGCTTCTGTTTTGTTGTTAACATCTAAACGATCACTCATAGATAAAAGCTAAAAGGTACTGGTAAGAAATCGTAAATTCCCTCATGTGATTTCTGTCGAATTCATGTTCTTCGCCTTTCCTCTCATAATATATAATTATCGATTTTTATTGAATCGTCCTCAGCTAAAGCTTTTGGAACCATTCAAAAAGTAAAGAGATGTGTGATTCGTTTTGCCACGAGCGTGGGTCAAATGAAAACCAGTTGTAAATGTTACGTCATGTCTGATGTTCAGATCAAGATATAAATTCCTATTAAATTCGTTTTTCTATATTAGATGACTGTTGATTTGAACAATATTTTCAGACAACGAGTGTGTGCGGTGATACAAGGTGTCAGAAGGCTAGCCTATGCTAAACTCTTGTTCAAGAGATATGAGTGAAATAAGGTACGAGCGAAAAGTTTGGATCTCTTTCCTTCGTCCACATCCCACCTATCCCTCCTTCCTCACTTCCCTATTCCCCTTGCTACATTTTGGATTTTGGTTTAACGACCCATACCCAAAATGCGTCACAGCAGTAAATTTCACCAGTCAGTTTCATAACATTTTCTTGCCTCAGGGTCCTCCGTTGACTCCTTCGCTTTCATTTTCATGTTTTCTTCATGAGTCAGTGTTATAGGGCCCAGTTCTATTTCAGACGCCCCATACCTTGCATCCAAAATAACTCTTTGTTTTGATAAATTAATGTCAATTCATCTGGAACGGCGCCCGCTGAAGGCGTTTTTTTTACTTGATTTTATCCAGAAAGGTCTATTTAGACGATTGAGGTTTTGATAAGTCGCCGAACTTTCCGTGTCTCTTTTATAAAAAGATTCCATGTTTCCGTGTCTCCTTTCTGTAATGAATCGCAGACGACTGTACTACCGATGTTCTCACATTCCGAGGCCTTCTGTTTTTACTGAACAAACTCACGGTAGCAGAGAGTCTATTTGTTTTATCCAATAAAGGAGCAAAAAGTATTTCATGGTGAAGTCAAGGTTAGCGCACAGTCAAGATGCATATTATTTTATCAAAAAAATGCATCATGAATTTTCAAAGCTGCAGAACTTTATAAGCGTAAGCCGTAGAGTTTCTGCTATATCCTAACGCCGTGTTCGCATGAACTGTTTCCGTTTTTTTGACAGGGCAAAATAAAAAGTTTCCCCGGCTCAGTTTTCGTCTAGCCATCCTGAGATTATTCGCCCAAAACGGGACTGACCAGGAATGGAGAAGGAAATTGGAGCGAAAATTGAGTTGGTTACGTTACTGTCCACCTGGTAAAATAGAAATTTATTATCTGATAGGAATCACATTTAACTATTGAATCGAAAAAAGGCTTATGCATCGTTCCTCGAAAACAGTCGTCACGACTTAAAACTAGTTATGCATTAGTGCAGTTTTCAGTCGAATGTCGAATAAACAAAACCACACGAACCACAGCTACCGGTCAGAACAAAGGATTTAATCATCATTAACCAATGAGGACTCAAAGTAAAACAGGCAACCAGCTTGAAGCGCGGGAAAACGCGAATCCAAGTTCGTATTTGTTTTAGTTTTGGTTTTAGGTATGAAGAAGGGAAACTTGGGTAGCCGTCAATTTAACCATCATGTTCTGCTCCGAAAATATTTGGAGCTAAGAAATAATTATGTTTTTCCATTCATTCCTGAACGTGGGACAATGACAGGCCTCCCATTGAAAGGTTTTTTTAAGAGAGACATTAGACACACGGACAAAAATTGTGCTTATTATTGAGTTGCAGTTTAATTTGCAAAACTGGCTTCGTGATTTCTCAACAGTCCTACACGAATTAACAAAATAGCGTTAACATTTTACAACACTTAGTGTCCTAGATGATTCAATATAACCAATTGCTGTACAAACAGGCAAAAACGCCCATTCTTCGCTGAAATTCCGTGAACTTTCATAATTAGTTAAAATCATTGCCAAGTCATTTAGTACCATGTAATATTTGATAGCCTTTTTAAAATTAACAGGAACGGTAACATTCAAGGTCATCGTACAAACAACCCTTGATTCCCGATGTACTTTTAAAACAGTTTTCAATTGAGCGTCGAAAAAATCAAAATCAAAGTACATACAACCGTCGATCAGTTAACCAATGGGAACTCAAAGTAAACACAGGAAACCCGCTGCAAGCGCGGGAAAACGCGCATAACAAGGTTGGGATTGGTTTAAGTTTTGCATTTGATTGGTTGATATGGAGGCGTTAGTTTTCTGGACCAATCACACTGCAGTGTAACGTAAAACCAAAGCAATTCAGGTTCTCTTTCGATAATCAATTGAAAACTTTTCTAACTTTTTTTGATCATACATAGTACGTAATATCTATTATCAAATATATTTATGCAGATAAAAAAAAAATTACTTACAATGAGTGTAGCATTTGTGGAAAGTCATTTAGGTGATTTCTTTCTTATCATTATCTGAGTGTGCATAATTACAAAATAGTTGATTTGACAATTTGCTTCTGTTTCGACTAAAAAAATACATTTATCATTTGAATTGTGATACTTTGGAAACAAACATTCAAAACAGTATTTGTTCTCTACTCATCTTGATTAGTGAGCTTCATTATAACAGAATTTGGAATTATTACCATTCACGTCTTTGTGCATATTGTACATTATTCACCCCTCAAATTGCAGACTGTCTCAACCTTCCACACCGTAACATCAATATGCATATTCTCCATACTGTTATCTATCAATCGTTGGGTGTTGACAAGGAAAATTTATTTAACAATCAAGAGCGTCCTTCGTTGAGCGTCTTTAGTCTCTTATTTTGATTCAAGAGGCATATCGTGCGGAGAAACTAAATGCTAGATGTCTTTTGTAGGGGTTGAAGGTTAAGCAGAAACCAAGAGTAGCTGGGCTAAAGTGGCCCTATCTTGATAAATAATCCCCTTTTCTTACCAGTATTAAATGTAAAAGTAAACATATAGCAATGCTATACATAAAGGACAGCTCACAAATCCTATATTGGGAGAAAAGGATTATTGGAGGCATTTATTTCACAGTAGTTTTGAATCGTTTCTTGGAGGAAACATTGGGGGTTACTAAGGTTTCTGTCAGCTCAATACAGGTTTCACTGTTATAGGACAAAAAAAACTTCTGAGAGCCTTTGCTACCATTCTTGTAATGAAGATCTCTTCGTGAGGCCTAATTTATCTGGTGACTGCCTTCCTTAAGGTGAACCAAGAAGGGCAGTGATATACTGCACTAGCATGAATTGATGGTGCCTTGAAAATTGTCCCTGATTTTCCCTGATCATGAAGGACACTAATTCACCCAGTAAAAAGATAAAATAAAAGTTGGTAATCTACGTAACTTTAAAAATGATTGGCTTTCCTTTGGTTTACAAATGGATGTAATTATATATATCTGTATATAACCATTTTTAAAAAACTTCTTCCACAGCAAAATACGTTTCCTTTCCATTGATAGACAACTCAGCTCTCTAATGCAACAGCATCATACTTCATTCGAGTTAGTTTGTGCCAGCTCTGCATATCCACCATCCACCTCCACTTTAGAAGGTACCTGGTTACCTTGGTAAAATGTAGGCTAATAAAAAATAAAAACTTATTAATAAAAGGTAGTCTATGACTGCAGGTGCCTGATGTTGTATAACTGTAGAGTATTACAGTAAAAAAACAGCTATGTGGTGTAAAATGAAGAGGGGTTATTAAAAAGCTCTTGTCATAGCCAAATAGTTCATCTCAAGGTGCAATTCAACATCAAACAATTGAGGCAGATAAGTAATAAAAGCAAATATCATCATTTTCTTCAACTGACCGTGGTAGGCACTTGATACTCTACAGAGGCAGGATTCTCAGGAGGAGCATCTTCATCATCTGAGTTTTCCTCTCCTGATGATGTTTCATCTCCTCCTTTTTCAGCCTTTCTCGGTGGAGTTGGAGCAGCTAAAAAAATTATACAGTTCTAGTTAATAAATAAGGATTGTTTCATATTAATAATAATAATATACATGAGAAAATTTCTCAGTTCTGATTGGTTAAGATGAATGCAGTTTTTAGTTAATTCAGTGCAGAGGGGGGTTAATTCAGTGCAAAGAAAGAAACAATCCAGACATTCTGATTGGTCAGAATGATTCAGGTCAATGTCAAGGTCTCTTGCAAGGTTTGAATAAATTATTCTTGTGCTTGATGCACACACTTTTCTTCTGCGTAGTTTTGAGAAGCTACCTCGTATTTTTTCATGTATAGTATTAATACAGAATCATATGATTTTCTAATGCAATTTGGAATAAATAAGCACTTGTAAATTTTTTCAAAGACCACAAATGGCACTTGCCCTACGGGCTCATGCAATTTTGTTAGGCTTTGAAAAAATTTACTCGTGCTTATTTATTCCAAATTGCACTCGAAATCATGTGATTACCGATACAAAGAGGCACTGGTGAATAAAAATGTATTTCATTGCTTGTGTCTTGTGATGTATTTAGCACATTGGGTTACAAAATGAAAGTGCAACCCAATGATTTCCTGTTAGTTCAGGAAAACACAATAAAAAATTACTCATAGGTGGGAAAAAAACATAGTGTTTGCATCCAAACCCATCATTGCATTAACTTTTAATTTCAACCAGTCTTTGTTCAAATTATATTGCTTCACTCTGACTGAAAGACAGGCACAAAGAGTCAAATGAACCTTTTTGTAACAGATTGTCAACATAAAAAATGTATCATTGTGTATTACCATATTTACCCGTGTATAGGCCGCACTCGTGTATAGACCGCAATTTGAACTATTGACCTGATCTCAGGGGAAAAAAGTTTGTCCAGTAACAAAGCACAATTAAGCCAAAAAGTTGAGAAAACTCTTTCTTTTATGAATTTCTCATTTGACAACAAAACAACTTCTCTAAGAAAGAAAACAGTCTTCTTGAGTGGGAACGTTCGCAGAAAGTATTTACATCCTTCCATCTTCGTACTTTCTTCTCCATATTGGCGTGCAGCTTCTCGGTTTCCCTTCTCTAAAGCACAAGTAATGACAGCAGGTTTAAAGCGTTATGAATATGATACTCTCATTGATCCTTTTGGCTTCGTGATTTCTTAGAAAATGAGAGTGATTTGCCTATTTTCATTCTTTGACAGCGTGCAACATGTGGGTTGCCATGGTTACATTCTGGGCTAGTTGTATTGAAAAAATGAACCCCTCTGTATGCAAAGTGAATAGAGCAAATGTTATCGAGAATATTGCTCGCCTAGTTTGTGATTCAAGGATTCAGCTGTCACACAGGCCAAAAGTAACCAGAAAATGGGTGAAACTACTTACAACTATGAAATGGAAATCGAAATACAAGGATATGTATCTGGACTGACACCTGGAAACCCACAATTTATGAGGCCGATTCAACTGGAAATAAACTCATGGGATGCCTGCCGGTAGAATTCAGCCATGTTGCTTGTTATTCTATTAAGAATGGTGGAGAGATTTCTTGCCAAGTGACTGGAAAGAGGCTTCACTCACAATGTCCTCGAGGAGGAATGGCTATTCCATGCAAATTACAGTGGATGCCTTCAAACAAGAAATGTATTCGGAACCTGGACAAACTTATTACAGCCAAGAGAAGCAAAATTCTTGGAAGATTTGGACCAGTTTAACGTAAGCTCGTACAATGCATTGAATAAAAGTGTGAATAACTGAGGAAGTTTGTTGATTATTGTGTTGGGAACTTTGCATATTAATGAGCTCTAAACTCTTGTACCTGTGTATAGGCCACACTGCAAACTTTCAAGGTGGTTTTTCGACACAAAAGTGCCGCCTATACGCGGGTAAATACGGTATATACAGCCCATACCAAGTGAGAGAACTTGACTCAAAGCCTACATGCAGAATACTTAACCTTAATGCAGCCCACGTTATGGATAAAATAACGTTCCAAAATAATTATTATTAGTAATAACATTGAAAACACTCCGTCACTGTATAACATGTTTTCTTGGTACCACTACAGGTGTATTAGCATGAAAGAAATAATCTAGGTTCAACTTACTCCTTTTCCTTGATTCTTGATCTGACTGGATCTTGCCACTTGATAAAACATTATAGCAGTTGTCACACACTCGCAGTGGTTTTGATGACTGGGCAGGGAGGAGAAACTTCTTGGTGGAACAGTTACCACAAACAACCCCCCCACACTTTCGACAGTGGTGCTGTGTCAAAGATAGGAAATAAAAGTTAAAAGTTTTAGCTAACCAATTGAGCTAAGCACCTCCCGGTTAGCTCAATTGGTTAGAGCGCTGGACTGTTGTGCGGGAGGTCGAGGTCGATGGTTCGAGTCCCGTCCGGACCAACACTCAAGATCTTAAAATAACTGAGGAGAATGCGCTTCCTTTCTATAATATCACGAAATGGATAGACATTCTAGTCTTTTCGGATAAGGACAAATAAACTGTAGGTCCCGTCTCCTGCATCTATTAATTAGTTAATTTGGTCAGGCAGGGGACCTTAAAGAACCCACTCACGAGATTACTGTAAGGTGGTCTGGCCTGTTTACTGGGAATTGGGGGCAGGGGGGCATCTTCAAATAAGTTTCCTTCGATTGTTTGTAAACTGCTGATGCAGTCCGGCCAAAGTCCCCCGCAAAGTGTTGTGATACACATTTGATCATATCCACATGTCAATTTGTGCAATATAAATATTAAATTATTATTATTATTATTAATATTATTATTAATGGAAACTAGAGAGGAAAAAGTGTATCAGTTAAAAAACCGTGTGGTTGGATATTAATGAGAAGTTATTATATGCAGCCCTGCATGCACTTTCATTGATAAAATAATATTTAACAAAATTCCCTGTATGAGGACCCCAAGCACTGGCATGTGTAGGGCAGGAAACAGCTGTACATCCTTGCAAGATGTGAGCTTTAGGGAGAAAGGAAGCAAAAGAAGGAGAACAAAAATATAATAAAATATTTGGTTCTTAGTCATGATGCACACACCTCGCTTCCTTCTGACCTTATATTAGGTTATGACCTCAAGCAAAATCACTTCTGTCCAGACCTTTCATTCAGTCAATAAATACAAATCAGGCATGTCACACTCACCCTTCGATTTAATGCTGTGAACTTGCTCTTAAAACAGTGCATGCAAGTGGATGCCTCGCTGTCTGGAACCCAGACAGCAGCATGTTCAGTGGTGCCTTTCTTTCCGGCTAAAACGAGATCACAAAAAGAAGAACTTGAAAAAAAATAAGAAGCAAGACTGACTTTCTTCTTCCAAAGCACCCCAGTTCATGAGGTACCAGCAAACAGTAAGTTTAACATGATGGTCAGTCATTCATGCCCATTGTTTCTCAAAATCCTTACAAATAAAGACCTGAGGTAAAACCACTTAATCTGCAGTTGTGCCTGCACAAGAGATTATTGTCCCAGTGTTACAACAAACTAGCCCTTAGTACTAAACAAAGTTACTATAGACCTTGTTGCAATTCTGTACACTATAAGATTCTACATTAAAGCATACATGATTGTACATGCAGTCTGCAAAGAAGGTGAGGCTCATTTCAGATGGTTTTTTTTTTAATTTGGAAAAAGTGCAGTAGATGGTTTGAACCTGGGGATGCCACTTGATCAAGTGGTCCAATCGTTTTGGTGAGAGTAATCCTAAGAAGAACTGTTGTTGATAGTGGTGACTGACATTTTGACAGCCTAAGTTAGTCATTATAACATAACCAAAGTAAAGCGCGCTCTGATTGGTCAATTCAGCTTCCCCAATTTGCCCATGGGTGTACGCTGCTCATGCGAGCAAATGCAAAGACTATTTTTCTGCCCACACTTGTTTTTTTTGGTCGCGTAAGATCTCTTAAATTAAAGGGAACTCTTTAGCTACAATGCATTAATGTTATGTTATAAAATAAATGGTAAACACCACAGCGTACACTATTGAGTTATAGATGCACTTGGGAGGTTTGCTAAGCCCTCAAGAAGCTAGAGTCTCTTACACTTCTTTCGTGCTTAGCAACCTCCCGCGTGCATCATAACTCAATAGTGTACGCTGTGGTGTTAACCATTTGTTAACTGTTGTTGATAGTGGTGACTGACATTTTGACAGCCTATGTTAGTCACTAATACAACAACAGTCCTTCTCAGGACTGCTCTCACAGGGATGCACAAACTAAAAAAGTCTGTTTACGAGCCTAGTGGCCCATTAGGCCGGTGCTTAACTCCAGTTTCTGTAGCATGAAGTGACTAGGAGTATTTCTACTCCCCCCTAGTTGGGATGCCAGTCCGTCGTAGGGTTACCCCCCAGCATTAAACTGCCGGTACCCATTTATACACCTGGGTGAAGAGAGGCACTGTGAGAGTAAAGTGTCTTGCCTAAGGACGCAACACAATGTCCCGGTCGGGGCACGAACCCAGACCACTCGATCCGGAGTCGAGGGCACTAACCATGAGGCCACTGGACCTCCACAGGATGCACAGACTACACAATCAAATTTGTACAAAGTATTCAATTGATAAAGCACTCATTCTCACTTTTTGCCACCAAGTCCTCAATACACTTGTTGATGTGTGCCATCCATTCAGCTTTTTCAGTCCTTGTGGCAGCATACACTGCAAATGACTTCTTTGCACTAATGATTTGCCAACCATTCTTTAAATCTAGAAGGCAAATCCATTGAACGATTAACAGTTGGGAATTAAAAGTAATCCATGTTTGCATTGGTTTTGTTTTATTTTGCTGTGAGATTAGTAATGGTAACAGAACTGAATGGAGTCTAATTGCTCCGTAATCATTCAGTCAAGTGATTAACAAAATCAGATGTTGGATTTGTTTCTTATCACTGTGATTACAGACAGAACTGGACACCATAAAGTCCTGCTACCAATGAGTCAAAGCTACGACAAAATTTGACATACAAAACAAGCTATTAGTAATACTTGTTCATGAAAAACAAAACAACTTACAACGGTTAACCAGACAAGATGCGCGACAACAGCTCATCCACATGATGTGCATAGTCCAGTAACACAGGTATGATGGACAATGATGGACAATGTCCAATTACAAGCATAACAAGTACACTGTCCTAATAGAGCTCAATTGAGGCTAGTGATAACCAATCACATTTTGGAATTCTGTTAGAGTTTTGATTAGAGCCAAAAACTTGTATTACCTTCTTCACCAATCACTTCACACAGTTTGCTTGTTTTTACCTTAAATTATCAGTAGTCAATTGCAACATCTCTTTTTGTTTTCATCATCCATTAAAATAACAGTTCATTTCAATTTTTTCACACCAGGGGTTTCAACAACATTAGTTATAAGTGGCCACTGAAGGTTTAATAGGCAGCTGTGACCACTAAAATCACTTTTTATTTTCATTACTGAAATCCAAACAGACGGCGGTAAGAGGTCCTACAGGCGGTGGTAGACCACAGGTAACTGCCTTTTATCGAGACCCCTGTTTCACACCCACTGACATCTCTAAAATCATGGGTTATGACAAATGACACAGTACTCACTTCCTTCATCATCCAAGGATTGTAGTTTGATATCTTCCAGTGGGATTATATGCTGCTTATTGTACTGAAACGAAATCCAAACTGTCATTGATTCATGTCTCACAAATTTAACTTATCATTCACACTAGAATAGACACTTAATAAATAATGGTCACCCAAATGATTAAAATTAGTTTAGCTCAGGGACCACAAAATACAATAATGACAAGCTTGCATTGGTACTGTACTTTAACTTTGATAACCCTTTCAATGGTGCAGCTCAATGTCTAAATCACATTTGCGACAAAAAAAAAATTGCTATGCTCTAAACATTTTGAAAATTCAAGGTAAACCTAACTTACCTTCTTCTTGTTGATGACAATATTTCCATAAACAAGAATGTCATTAAACAGAAAAAACTGACGTGGTTTAGGCTTCTTTCGGCACAGTTTAGTCAATACACCTTCACCAACTAGAACTCTTCCATGGACCAGCAATGGCTACAGAATAAAAATTACAAAAAAATTGTTAGAAATACATGTAAACATTAAATGCTAGGAGCACTCCAAATTCTTTTTCTGTGAGTATCTCTGTGTCATCCACTGTCAAAATAATATCTTTCTATTAACCCTTTAACTACCAAGACCTGATAATTAATTCTCTCCTCAAGCTACTGCACATTTCCTTGTAAATTAGTTGGGAGAATTAAGTGTTAGATCAGGACAACAACTAGCTGATAAGTCTGCGTACTCTCATTACCTGTTTACTGGATAATGTACGGATATTATAGGGAAAAGTTTCATTTTAATCACTTCTGAGTGTTTAAGAGTTAACAAGCTTACCATCATAATTTACATAATCATTGTAGAGAAGCATCACATATTGACATTCCTAGTCTAGTAGTAAACAGGAAGTTTGTCATCATGGACCTTCTTAAACGGCCTAGCCCGCCACAAGTCTCCTATTATTCAGTAGCAAACGACCCAGAGTATTACAAGAAGGTTGGTCTTTGGTACGACACCAATCAGGGGCACTCAGAGTTCTTTTCTTAGAGTATGCCTGTGTCTTTCATTGAATAACATCTTTCAAAAATTAATGGGTCACGCTTCTGTAACCAGACAGTTCACTTCATTTGTCCGCATCGTTTTTATTGCAACACGGAAAAAAGTCATCTATTAATGAATACCACTGCCTGGTAGGTATTTTCTTTCTTAAATTTGGTTTTTTTTTTTTTCTTTTACTATTTGGTAATAGGAATTTGTGTCTGATTTGGTCTTTAATTCTAATTTGCCAATTGCGATCAATAATTGAGACTAAAATCTCCTTTGTGGTCATCCAATTCTGATATTCAAATGACTGTATAAGAAATCGCCAAACTGAACTCTCGCCTGTTCGATTGCTAGGATTAATCTTCAAAGTTTCCGACCTAGCCTACTCTATTTGAATCAAGTCATAATATGATTACAAATGCAACTTATTATTTTAAAACGCACGTAAGGTCAGACCAAAATTATCAGAAAGGGCAGACTATAAATATTCAAATCACATTGAGCGAAACGTCATCAAGACATGATTTACAGACTTACTTGCCCAGATGCGCCGAAACAGCTTTCCACATTTGTTATTCTTCTCTCGTTGGCCTCTGTATTGGCTTAAATTATCATGAATCAAAATCACACACACAATCAAGCAGAGACAACACGATGACGTGAAAACCACAGGTCGGTGGTATAACATAACGATCTGTATCCTTGATCTTTTGAGCGATCGGTAAAATTTGAAAGGTACATTATGAAAACTTTCTTCAAGCAAACCATTCAAATGAAGAAAATGCAAGTTTGACTCTTCAGATAACGAAAATAATATGTCCTTCCTTCAATATTAAGTAAATCATTAATTTTGTCTAACACCGTGGTTTACACTCTTTCCCAATCCCGCTGCACACCTCCTAAGAAATAATTCCCCATCTAAAGGTTCCTCTCTATCACGATCAACTTGTTTGCAGAGTGGAAAGCAGTATCATGAAACAACCTCATCTGAAAGCTTTCAGACACTTCCACGTAACATAAAGTAAGTATGATATGCATGACTAATAGCTGTCAGGCCGCCATTCACACTTAAAATAGTTCTCAGATAAAGGCGATCGAAAGCATTTCACACTATGAAAATGCTCATCATCCATGAATATCGCAACTCAAGGAAGTACATGAACCTTATGACGTTTGTGCAAGAAATCCCGTCCCAAAAATAACCGAAAAACGTTGCAATTCCTTCACTTACCTAATCGGTCCACCATCTTGGCTCCAAGATCGTCCGGTTATTCCAGATCACGTGGTAATGAAGCAATCATTGGTGGGAGGAATTCGACCATTTCGTCACGAGAGGAATAAAGCGACGAGGGGGAGGGTCTCAAATATCTACGATTTCCATTTAAGGTAACAAAAATTAATTTTCTACTGCAACATGTAGCTCATTGCTAAATCCACACACAAGAGGTCATAAGTTAGTTATTATTATCATAACTCCACTGAAACCCTGGTGGGCTGACAAACATGAGTTCCCAAGTAATTTGGATATATCAACAAAGTTGAAATAGTAAATTGACCACCGTAACGATTACAAAAGCTGACGTTTCGTGCGTCAGCTCTTCGTCGGAGCGAAGTTCCGAAGGCTGATCCAAACCTTAGCTGACTTTACACACAAAAGTTTATCTCCTTTGATCCTTCAAAATTTATAAAACAATTTGATACTTAAATGTTATTTTCAAAAAGGGGAACCTGCCCTAAAATTAATCAGTGTGTCCTTAGGTAAACTCAACTTCCTTTCAGTTAATGTAAACAAACAATTTTTTTAACTTGTGTAATGATGTACTCCTTCAGCCGAAAAAAAAAAAAAAAACTCTAAGGGTTTTTGTCAGGGGAGGGGAGGGAGATAAATATATGGCTGGGAGTACAAGATCTATATGTGAGGTTGACAACCATTTTTAATATAACTTTAAAGATTCAGACCCAATACGACAGACATAATAGGAAGGGGGGGGGGGAGTTCACAGTCATATAAAAAGGCTCACCTTAAAAATTCAACAGCACATATCTAATAGAAGTATTCTACCACAGAGAGGAGTTCTGAACTTTCTCTAGGACAGGAATCTGCATACATTTTATTCATTAGCTGCTGTGTGTGTACAAACTATTTTGCAAGTAATAAATGCCATGCTATTGCGACTCAAATACAGTAGTATCAGCATTCTTAGAGAATGGCAGAATTTTGTTTGCAACTTGTTCACAATTTGTGTTAACCAATACAAAAAATTGCTGCAAAACTATCGCTTCTCAAATAAATATTCAAATAAATTCTTATTGACAGCTAACATTATTCATGAATTCTAGATATAGTGACTTTACATGTTGCGATTTGTTTACAGCATTGCTCTTGGTAGAATTTTTTTTTTTCAACCACCACACAGATGAATAAGCATATACACTATACCTTACATAGAGGACATCAGTGGATGTTAAATCATAAATATATAGGTACAGCTCCATTGTCAAGTATTCTCCAATCAAAAACACATTCTTTACCAAACTACACTTGCTTGCCACATTTTTACATCTACAAATGTGTTTTTATCCATGATAAATTGGGAAGATCAAGTAGTCTATAAATGGATCATGAAACCTTTTGCAGAATCTCTTTGAGAATAGACTGTGGCAGGGGTAACTTTCTAATGTTCTGTGACAAAACAGTCTTCCTCAGAAACCTTGTGCAATACTCCTCCAGTCTGTACACTGTGGAGAAATCAAAATATTTTATTACTAATGATAATAAATAAATAATTATCTTTTTGAAAGTGTATCAATACATAAAATGGTTATTCACCACTTACTAACTAATAAAATTTTTACATTTAAGTAATATGCACAAATTAAATCTAAAGCCAGTGACACACCTGGCAGTTTTATTAACAACAACAACAACAACATTGACTTTACTTTTGAAATTGCAGAAATAAAGGCCTTTGTAGCCTGAAGTTAGCAAAGGTATTCTAGGCAAGCTACCTAAACAAACACTGTATAGGCTCTCTCTCACACTCACACACAGTATAGATACACATACACACACACACACACACACACACACACACACACACACAAACACACACAACAATTAAATAAATAAATAATAAAACAAGCAGATAAAAATAAATAATAAATAATAGTAGTGATACTTACATTAAAGGTTTTAGCTGAGCCAGTCACACAAGAGATTTTTAACAGGTCAAAGAGACAGCTAATCAGTTCAAATACATATATAAGCTAGAAAGGTCAAGGTAGTGCAAGTCAACTTTCATCTCCTCAATTTCAAGAATTTTCAATAGCAGGTAAGTTAGCTTGCGTTTTTTATTCAGCGATTGTAGTGAAATTGATTGCTGCAATGGGTGTATAAAATCGCTGGTATCTGACTCCCCAGAAATCAGTGAAAGGCAAAACTCGTAATCGCAGCTCTGGCTTACCTGGCGATTTTTTCCCATTGCAGTGGTCAGAGTATAAAATCGCCAGGTGTGACCCTGTGAAAATTTTTCCTATTTTCAGTGATTATCAAAACTTTTTCATTTATTTTATATTTCACATTTTCAAAGGTCATGTCAGCCTTAATATCACCCCTCCATGTTCAGTATATGACTGGAATGGAGGGGGGGGGGATTGCAAGCAACTCTGTCATTATCAGGCAAAAGGGAACCAAACACCAAACAGTTGTGACACCTTTTTAAATGCCATCAATAGAAAATGGTACAGAATATTACTAATTTTTTATACCCACATCATCCTTTAAGGTATATACTTCATAACTGCGAATTAGATCAGAAACTTAGAAGGATACACAACCCCTTTAAAGCTTCCAGTAGCACATTTATGTCTTCTAAACTTTGGAACGACTATCTGCTACATTACTCCACATGATTGTTGTCTGTTACTCTCTTACTCTTCCACACAGTATTTTCGATTGGCGGATACGTCCTAGGGAAGCTAAAATCTGCGAACAACAACTAACCTGGTGTTGTGATGTTTATTTCCGCTCTCACTACATAAAATCTGCGGGCATCAAAGTCTACTCGCTGTATAACAGGCTCGTCGGGGAAAAATGTTTCCCTAAAGTTCAATAACAGTCTTTCATTTGTTTCTTCGTCGACTGCAATCCAAGGATGCGTCACATATGTGTTCATTTTAAGGCGATTGTTCGTTCCACCTACAATAGTGGCGAACAACTTTTCCTCGCCACTGTAATCAAACCATTTCAAATTGACTCTTCGTCCTGTGTGATTTACAAACAGAACTGGCGATTCGATTCTGTTGTGTAATGATTTAAGAGGACGCTCGGAAACTCCCTCTTCCCTTTCATCCATTGGAAAAAGGATCAAGCTGCTAGAGCAGTTGAAAACTGGGCATTCTAACCCGCACGTTTTCTGAAGACACCGGGTGTTTTGAAAATGTGTTCCGTAATTATTCTGGTCAGCTGAGCAAGATGTTGTCATGTAGCTGACAATGTTGTGTCCAGGAGGTCTTCGTTACGTACTCGGATTGCGTGCGAGCTAAACCACCATGGTTATTTTGAAGAGAACAAAAATGATTATTCAAGAAGATTCAACACTCACAAACTATTACAGGAATGTTAATCTTCCTTCAAAAAAAAAATTAATATATAAACAGATGAAAATCAAACTGACTGGCAAATGTAATAAAGGTTTGGGCCATTTTCCTTCCCCACGGGTTCTTCTTGCACCATTGCTTTAGTTAGCTGCGTAGAAGTCACCCTTTGGATTCTTCGGTCAAGTTCTCAGGGGGGGGACCCTTGGAACGACGTTGATCTCATAGTAGACATGGTAGAGTGGGAGGAGATTGGGGACGATGAGGGCTGGACTGAGACAAAACCTCTAACAGCTCTTATGATCTCACAATAATATGGGAGGAGCTTACACCTTTGATTCAGTCCTATAAGCATGTCTGATCACGTGATAAAGTAGGATTCATCGTTAATCGTGGCACTGTCAATCACAGAAATCTAGGCTAAGAGATGCATGCACTTTTGAATTCAGTTTATTAGGACTGGCTGACAAAGATATGTCACGTGAGAGGAATGGCGCAGTGATGAGAACGCTCGCCTCGGCACCACTATTAGCTTTGATTCCCGGACCTGGGGCCCGTTTCCCGAAAGTCCCGGTATTATATAACGGGTCCGAAGCCATATTTTAAAAGCAAAAGTTAATGATTAGAGAAATAGGTTACGGCACCCTAACCAGTCCATTTTGTTTCTTTAGCTGATAGTTTTATTGTACAATTCTTAAAACTTTTGTAAACCTCCATCTTGAATGAAAACAGAACAGCTTTACGGGCCCGCTAATTTACAAGGACCTTAGAAAGACGGACCCCAGGTGTTAAATGCGGATTGACATTGTGTTGGCTCTTGTGGCCTTTTTTTTCCATGTCTTCCGGTTTTCCTTCCTCCACAAAAACTATCATCCGAAATTCCATTTCGACTTAGAAACAGCAAACAGGGAGAGCCACTTCGTGGATCGTCCACTGCTATATCCCGTTTATCTATTATATATAGTCAAGTCACCATAATTATAAATAGCTATTAAAGTAGCTATCTCGAATATGCTAGCATTTGGGCGCTACTCCATAAATTCGACACTAAAGATAGTCGATAAAGTTTAGTAGGGGAGGAGGGGTGGGAAATGAAAGATTACTCAGTCCTCTTGAAATTTCACATCAACTATGCGATTAAGCGTAGAAATCCTGCACATGGAATACGTTTGGACAATTATGAATCAAACCATCTAAATTTTCGCACCTTTATTTGCGAAATTCTTCATTACAGTTACTGTAGTAACTTATTATACAGCCTAAATGCAATTTCTTAATTGACAACTTGAAACATATCGATACATATAATGTTCGCCTGTGGAAAAAAAAAATCCTCTTTGAGATCTTGTCTCGTTGAAACTAACACAGATTACAAAAGTAAAGGTAAATATTTTGGAAAGTTGAGGCAGAACGAAAGATTTACAGTTACGGTAACGTTAAACCATATACAACATTTCAGAAAAAAATGCAGACACATAGGATAAATAAAGGAATAAAAAGGTTTTCACTCCGTGTCACGCTACATCACAGAATGGAAGGAAGCGTTGAGTTGCATAGCCCACATTAGACACAGTATGCAAGTAATGCTCTTGAGTAATTCGATCGCTGTACTTTTCTCGGGTTTCTATTATACAGAAAGGCAAGATCTTATTCGAAACAAGTCTCAATAGAGCAAGAAAACTGAGAGGAAAGCAATAGCTGCTAGATTCGGACATTCAACTTCCAGGTATCATAATTAAGCTAAAGATGAGTAGTCACCTTAAAGAGGACTGTGTATCGCAAGAACCAAAGATTCTTCCGTGTATCAGTACACGCCTAACTAAAATACTCCTTTGTAATTTTAACCAAAAAAATATCGATTTCATATCTGATATAACTTAATACAGTTATTTGTTTCAGTAAAGGTAGATATTACCTATTATTCAACGAAAATGGCCTGAAAAAACTACACTACTGTTACTGAAAATGATATAGCAAACAGTCACCAGCGACATATTTGGGAAATAAACCGCTACCAAAAAAGTTCCCTCGCAATTTGCAGAAGTAAATCGTCATGCATCATATCGACCCATTAAGGTTTTTAAAGTACAGACTGAAAAAATAGTACATCGCTTAGTCCTGATGAAATTTGACATCCATTTAAGGGGCCACCACAAGACACCGCCGATTATGACCTATTTATTTATGAAATAGGAAAAAAACGAAACGAGAAAACAAAAAAGAACGAATATAGCACGCGTCTGTAATTGGAAAGAAATTCATTTCCTCATAATAACTGATAAAAAGCAACCTTGAGATGCTACTACAGCCACACGATTTGTCTTGAAGCTGACGTTCGTTACACACTGACGTCAAGTTAGATTACCTCCACCTCCACGCTAAACTTTCAAACTTGGTCATTCCACCCGTCATTACTCCGTGAACAATTCAAACTCATTTATCTGGTTAAATAAGGTCATTATCGGTTGAGAAGAAAAAAAAAAAACACTTTACAACAAGTATTTCGACGTAAAAATAGAAATAACTTGAACTACCCTTAACAATATGTTAAATTATCATAACGAGGATTCAACAGGACAAGACAAAACTTCACAAAAGTGCACTTCCTTTCCATGAACAAAGAAAGTTAAGCTAATAATTCATGCAACCGATGCGTGCTGGCAGCCATATTGAATGATTAAAGAACGTCTTCCACTCCCGCAAGCAAGTCAATTCAGAGCTGTTCGCTTAAAACCTCAGAGGCTTGTGCACATCCTTTGTAACAATTTAAACTTCTGATCTAAAGAACATTTTATATCTTTAACCCTCCTCGACATCATCAAGAACATGTTACCTACATTCTACCAGCCTTCAAAAATCCAACATGGCCGCCAGCAACAAAAATTCCCTACCCACCCAACTCCCCTTGAACACTAATACTCCGTCATTCACGACGAGGGCATGGGAATAGCGGTATTCGCCGTATTGCTGCTAGCCGCGCTGTCAAGACCGGGTGACTTGGGGAGTTTCTCGCTGCTTGTGTCGTTTCCATTACTGCCGGGCTGCTTCGTTATCGGATCCTCTTCGTCCTTAACGTCGTCAAATTCGAAATCCTCCCACTGCTCGTCCGGAACTGGTTTGCACTTTCCACAACAGAAATTACAACAGAAGAAGCAGCAACAGCAGAAGTAACAGCACGTTATGATGCCGCAGAACATGAACAGCGCCTGTTCAAATCAACACATGCGTACAGGATTAGTGATGTCACCTTGCAGAACCGTCACCAAACCAACAAGACAAATTACCGTGTGCGTTCGTTAAACAGAGCAGCATTTCGAAAGGCATGGTCTTGTAGCGCACAGAACAAACAGTAACCGTATTGAAGAATATGCAACAGAAATAATGTTTAGCAAAGGCCTTTCATAAAGAAAGTAACCACGGTAGTTCTCGTCCTTGAAAGTCCTTTTTGATAAGACAGTGACAACCTACAGTGCGTTGAAACTGTCCCTACTCGGACCCAAAGCGTTCTAAATTCATTTCCGTTCTGAGCCATAACAACGCATATACATTTCGACCCCACACATGATTTAAAAACGTCCAAAGACACTTGTTGTCAATAACATCAACGTTAGAAACTATTTTATTTTTCTGCATTAGCAACAAAGACCTAATTTCAATTTCAAACAGGCTTTCGACCACGTTCCTGGCCATCAGACACCATAAGTTGTTCTACTGAACTTACCTTACACCAGCCACTGTTGAGCCTGAAGTACAATTTGACATTCTGTGGGTGAAAAGCAAAAAATAATTAGTATAACTTTGATTCACATTCTTTTTCTCTTGAATACGCAAAAAAAAAGACCTTTCTGGGTTCTCAAGGAATCCTCTAATAACTGGTTTTAGTCTCAGTCCTTTCACGACCTTTCCCAAACCCAGTAGAGGATTGTGGGATGGAGAGGGAAAGACAAAGTAAGGTTGTGTGCGACTGATTCGCCAGGCTTTGAACAAGAGGACCGTTCACGAAGCGAAAAAATTGCGCAAAATATACTAATTTAGACATCTGCAGATCCATGGCCAATATTCCCCTTTGCTGTGATAGCCAAATTAGGGGCAATATAGCGCTTCTCGGTTGAGTGTCGTAAAACCAAAAGAAAAGTGACCATAACGGCCAATTACATGAAAGGAAAATATCTTTAAGAGCCAATGAGGGCTTAAAGTAAAAACAACCGAGGCGCCTAAAGCATCTGATTGGTTGAAAGGATGGTGCCGGATTTCTGGACCAATCACAGAGCGAAGTAAAGCCAACCAATGCAAAGCCGGATTACTTTCGACACCCAAATTGAAGACTGCTCAAAGTTTCTTTCGATATCACACAACTCATTTGCTGGAGAGGTTAAGAGAACACAAAATTCGTTTACTAATCTCTTTCATTTATCTGCCCAAGGTCTCACCATTGAACTAGTTACATTAAAAGTAGCCTGCTAATTTAAAACGCCCATGAGGAATGGCAAGTGTGAAATGAACTGAATGTATTCAAAACAAATACATTCTACAGAAGTTGTAAACACGGTTTATTCCACTGTATAATGAAGAAATCAATCTTCAAAACTCTGTGCGCAAGGTAATCTACATCTAACATGTAATTTTTTTATCGAAAAAATGAAAATTGTGAATTTTTAAGTTATTCCTTATCAGTCAATTAATATTTCATAACATTTTTCTTTAACAAAAAATCTGATGGACTTAAATCAGAACGAAAGATCTTCAGGCGATTTTTCTACAAACTGTTCCAGCTCGTTAGAAATTTCATCAACTACTGAAGCTTTGACAACCTTTAATGCACCGGGCCATTGAGATAAGTCAGTGTCTACTCTTTCTTTAAATTTTTGGTCAACAATGGTACCATCGATATCCAAAATCTCCAGCGCGCTCAAAGATGAACCGCTTTGAGATAAGACATCGAGAAATGCATACGCCCCAGAGTTTCTTATCAAATTCTGACCAATGCGAAGAATTTTCAAATTTGAGTTATTAACAACACCCTTAGCAATGAAGCTGGCTGCTTTGGCTGTGAATAGATTTCCACAGGCTGAGATTTCAATTAGGCTTTCGTTGTTAGCGATTATTTCGCCAAGAATTTTGGCTCCGACGTCGTACAAGTAATTCCACGAAATGTTCAAAGCCCGAAGCGATTGCGTGCATCGAAGACCAGGCATCAAGGCTTTTAAGCCCGTAACTTCGAGTTGATTTGAGCTGAGAAAAAGCTTTTCGAGAATAATATTACTCTTTAAAACTCGCGACATATGTTCGCCGAATTGATCGCATAAAATATTATGCGATAAGTCCAGCTCTTTTAGGACAGTTTCGGAGCTGAGAAAGTCCAGAAACACTTCCATGTCTTGGTCTGTAAGATCGTTTCTCGAGAGATTCAACTTTTCCAGAGTTCGATTTTGTCTGAGCATCTCTCCAATACTGGAGACTGAGTTTCGCCCGAGCATATTTCCAGACAAATCCAGCTCCCTAACAGAACAGTTCCTCTGCAGTCCTTCTGCAATGGCCCTGCCCCCTTCATTTCCAAGGCGGTTGTTTGCAAGAAACAAACTGACAACAGTCGAGGAAGGGAGAAGTTCCGAAGCAATTTCATATGCCCTTATCGGGCCCAGCACCCATCCATTCAGGTCCAGGTCTTTATCATATCGATGCTGTTTAAAGTACTCGAATGGGTTTGATTTCCCTTTCTCAGCGCCTATTACAGTCCTTAAAACTTTTCTTTCATTTTCAATTTCTTTTTCTTGGCTTTCATTTGATGTCGACTTCTCTGTCAAATCTTTCTGCGGGTCTCTCGTCTTCTGATCTTTTTCCATCTTCAAGGAATTCTCGGCGTCAACAATCCTGCTCTGCGCTCCAAAAAGTAACCGAGACTGGCTTGTTATTTTGGCCGAATTGTAAAATGTTTGCACATTCTGCAATTCAGGATCTTCCATAGCATTTACTTGAAGCCGATTCCAACGCCAAAACAAAGAGCTTTCATTATCAGCTGGAGTGCTCTCTTTTCTTTCAGGCAAGGACATTTTCAAAGTAAATCAGCTCTTTTCCTTTCAATTATGCCCTAATTGACATTAGTTTTTGTACATTGTACGAATGGGGTTCCTTTCTCAGTGTGAAAACAAGTTTACCCTTTTCTCCGTGCAACCAAGGTGCAACGTTCCTTCAAAATGTTTAGCTTTGGAAACAATGAACAAAGTTTGTTTTCCTTCTCTTTCAAAACGAAATACTAAAACCTTGATTGGTCAGACTTTTGAATAAATAATTAAAATTGCTTAAGTGTAATTCAAGAATTTTCGTCATGTTAAATAAATCATTTGCAGGCTGCACTTGAAAAAATAAAACACTCACAGAGAGAAGAAAACTACGAAATCATTCAATTTATTCCCTGTAAAGAACTTTTCAGCCCTAATTTGCCTAAAAAATTATTTGTAATTGCTTTTAACAATACAAGGTGAAGCTTGAAACAAGAATACAACAATAAAACATCGACCGCGGCTCGATAATCATGGGGGCCTCCTCAATTTTTCTTTCATATCCTTAAGAAATTAAATACTTAATTCGGTAACAGAAAGGTTTATACGAACTTTTCAGTTGCGAGGAGTGTTTTCTCCCTTCGTAAAAAAATTTAAAAAAATTAAAAAACAAGAGAGAGAGAGAGAGAGAGAAACCACCGGTTACAATATGGCGTGCCGCGTGGGACAATATTGTTGGCGCAAAAATAAAGTGCAAAAGTTGAATATATGTCATGGATGAAATAAATATGATATGAATGGAATATATATGACATGGACCAAATACGATATAAATATGGGGCAAATGCGCGAAAACTATATATGGTTATTGTGCCCATTGTCAATTTGGTAAGCGGAAGATTGATAAAAAAAATAACATGACGGCCCGTGACAGGATTGATGATTTAGAGCAATTTTTCGAGAGCTCTATTCCATCCCTTTTTCGTCAAGCTCGTAGAAATCTTCACTCTGAAAACATCAACGTCTTGGCGTATTTTGAACGCCGATTAGATGATCCTGCATAAGTTGTAAGGTGTCTCATATTTGAGTGCGAAGTGCAAAGCACTGGCGAAAGTTTACTTGAGCCACTTTATCTCTTGTATGAAGAAATCATCGGCTTAAAAAGTCAGTTTCTAAATATTTGTTGCCTGCTTCGAGGCTCCTCCACTTTGAGAACGGCTAACTTCCTGAGTTCCTGCTCCAGAAACTGCTGTTTGAGTTGAAGTTTCAGGGTTTGAACTTGAACTATCGGAAGACCTAGCTTGCAAGCCTTTTTTGAAATGAGGTTGATCAATAATCTGGCGAACAAGTAAGTCGACAGTGGGAGTA